AAGATATGGGCCTTGAGTGGCCGGGCACTTCATCAACATTTAAAGTGGTACTCTCAAAGGGTTGGTAAAATCTTTCAAGCAAACCTGTCATATTGACAAAGTACTTAAAATCAGATAATTTACATTCAGGGGTGCCTCTAAGTCCTGCCCACCCAAATCCCTGACCGATAGAGAGAGGCAGGCATTGCAGGGGTGTAATACAACATCACATACACACGATAACCGCTCTACCTCTGCCTGCAAATCTTTGGAAAAAGGGCAATGCTGGTGCTCAGAGAAGGTTCCACCCGTCTCTGTCCAATGATGCATAACAAATTCCACCACTCCGCTTCTTGCCTCAATCCTTATTTGAGTATCAAATGAACGTGTCACAAGGAAAAAACTCTCTGACACGTTTCAGCCACACATGGCCTTAGTAATCATAGCTCATGACTAAGCTATGACTAAGGTCATGTGTGGCTGAAACGCATCAGAATATTTTTTTTACTACATAAGCTGTTCATCTGATACTCAAAAGAGGATTAAAGCAAGAAGTTGAGTGTTGGAAATTTGTTCTGTATCATTGACGGGGGTGTGGCTTAGCTCTAGCTAGAAAGTCACTATTTGCATATGCAGTACCCAGCAATTGGAGCTCTAAAACAAATGTATGGGCAGCTACACTTTTAAGTTCTGTGGTCACTTTATCAAAGTAGTAGGTGTACCTTAAAGGAAACCTGTCAGAATAGAGTTATGGCAGTTGCCATTGCCTACTTGCTTTTTTCTACCTGCAGGGCTCTCAGGTACAGCTTCCATGTTTTATCATGACCGGTTTACTTTAAATATGACTAATAAGATGCAGTCCGGTACTTGCCCAGCTCCTCCTTCTATATTGTTCTAATTGACAGCATGGCTTGCATGGAGTAGACCAGGCAAAGTCTCAGTTGCATTATGGGAGCTTACTGTATTTTTGGTGAAATAACACATGGAGGAGGAGGAGGGGGTCAGCTGCAAGAAAAAAGACTTGTATTGTGACCAATGGAAACTGGAGCTTTGGGCACCATAAAAAATGTAATGACCTGTAAGAATGCCATTGTAAGAACTCAAACCACCTCTTAATCTGCAGAAGTTCAAGCAAGTGTCTGCTAGGTCATATAGCTACATTAGAAGTCTCCTCAGGTTGGAAAAAAAGAGAGTTATAGATAAGCTAAAAAATACTTTTCTTGGAGAAAGCAATGTTAGTCTTCTGACCAAAAGCCTAGGCAGTTAGTCATGTGATCTCTGCTGGTGTGTGTGAGTTCAGTTTGGTTGCGATCACGTGACCAAATGCTGAGGCTTTTTGTCATCTGGGTGATCCAGAAGGGAGCCCAAAGCAGCATTTTCTGCAGGAATGGTAGGCATGTCACCATCTCTGTTACTTTTTATTTTTTTTATGCTAGAAAGACCTTTTTGTAACATTTAGGTCGAGGTAATTTTAAGTTAGCCTTTTAGACAAGGGTGCTCCTATTAAATAGACCAGCTGGCTTTCATTGCCTCTATGGAAACCTTCTGTCCTACATCTGGGAAATAATGACCAGCCAGACCCCTTCCTCCTCCAGGGGCATAAGCAGGCAGGTTTGGTAGATCCAAGCACACATCTTCATGAACCTGTCCATGAAAAAAGCCTTTTGGCATGTGGGTCACCACTGACGTCCTTCAAACTCCTGAGGACTTTAGCCAGTGTAATAGATATCTTAGCTTTCTATGAGGACACCACTTCAGTGTCCCAGGAAACTGTTGATTGCTTTTTCACACAGTTATCTGATTAGTATTTGATCATCAGAATGTACCAACAATGGACAAAACAGCTGATATATCATTTATTGACTCCTATGATGTATCACAGCTCTCTAATGGGCACCAATTCCTATTCAGATGTGTGGTTGTGTACAGGTGCCTGTATAGAATCAACTGAGCTACCGACAGTATGGAGGTATTTATAAAAAAAACGATTTGCAGAGCCGTTCATCCTGCGATACTGTTTGTACCTTCATTCTGTGCAAATGAGGCAAATACAAATGTTATTAGTATATTTTCTTTCTAAGTCAAATGTAATTCATTAATAAGCTTAGAATGAATCAGGTGAATATTGCATTATGGCCACTAGATGGAGCTAAAGATCATAGGTAGTACATATTTATTTCCTATGGCCCTCAGGCCTATCTAGTGGCCATAATGGGATATTTTTTTAATCCTGTGAATGAATTATATTTGACTTGGAAAGAAAATATTCTAATAACATTTGTTTTTGCCCCATAAATACACCCCAATGTGTTCTAAAATAAAACACATTTCAAGGCTGAGTGTCAGCCAAATAACTAAATACTATGATAGAATATACATTATGTACATTTTGAATTCTAGTCTAAGACCCACCTATTATCTTTGTTGAAAATTTTTTTTTAACTCTTTTGTGTTCCCTCTAAAACCAATTTTCCTTACCTACTAAGGTCTCGGCTACCCCTTGACATAGGAGACCAGCCCCACGCTATCTATTGAATACACCCTCATTGGCCACTGACTCAGACACTCTCATTGAATGTGGTAATGGCAGCTTGGTGGGATTTAAGATGGACCCCCACGGGTCACATTTAGTCGGTTTTCTGCTCAGTCAGCTGAAATGTGGTCCATGGGTGACCCTGCTGGCACCAGACAACATCCGGCAGTGCAGATTCAAGTGATTTCTCTTGTTAAGCCCACAGGGGTGAATGAGAAAAATCTTCAACTCCATGGCTAGCTTTAGTCTTAACGTTAGGACAAATAAGCACTTAGTAACAGTGAAACCAGCATCAGAGGGGTGCATAGAAGAGAGTCTGCTGTTTTCTTGTATCCATCTGAAACAGGTCTCACCTACTCCCAAACACTGGGGACAACCCCATCCTGTCCATTGAAAGCATCCTCATTGGCCACTGAGACACTTTAAGATCATGATGGCCATTGGCTGGGGCTTAGTTCTAAAATGAAGTCCTTTGTAGCATAGTGAAATCAGCTTCAGAGTGGTGCACAGAAAAGTCTTTACTGTCTAATAAAGGTAAAGTAGTGCTAGTACTTTGGCAGGGTTAAGCAGTACAGCTTGGTCAACCCCCAAGACGTATTTAAAAGAAAAATCTTCAAGCCTTGCCAGTAATCTTATTCCTTAATCTGAATTCTGTGGGGTTCATTCTTTGAGTCCAGGTGTCCTGTCAGCTTCTGCTCCAGTCTGTAAACTGTTAATACATTGCTATAAACTTCCATGTGGTTCATATGTTGTTCATGTGTTCTCCATGTGTGTGCTTTTGTATCCGTGCTCCACCCAGTACAAGCTCTTATACCTGAAGCTGCTGTGCCATTTGTCTGTCTGCATTCCTGTTTTGTGTGCCCTGAACATACCTTTCCTGCTCTGATCTGAAGCTCTTCAAGACCCAAACATTTGCTCAAGTGGAGAGGATGCTGAGCAGATTTCCCAGTGATATGTAGGGGGAATGCATTCAAATTCCTACTCTTCCCTGCTTGAGCAGATGAGAGAGGCACTTGGAGTTTGAGCATCACGTCATAAGAACAGGGCAGAAGAGGTACATGAAATTTACAGGCATTACTTAAAGTAACCTAACACAAGCCTGGACAATTCAGACTGAGCCTATAATGGAACAATGCACAGCTGAGGTTACTTTCATGTCAAAATGATCATTAGATCTAGAAATATTGGCAGCTGAAGTTCTCTGCATATCTCAACTGGCTCTGTAATAGTCCAGCCCTATCCCTCCCTTTTCACGTGATGGACTTCTGTACTTACCAATGGGAAGGCTTACTAGTTAAGAGGGGAGGGGTCAAGATCACCTTTTGTTTTTAAAGTCAAGATTTGTACAAAACTTCAGTTGCATATAAATCTCTGGCTCTACTGACTGTTTCAAATGAAGGCAACTGCTGCTTGTACATGCCGTTATCATTTGCACAGCCTTAATTACCCAAGATTGTGTGTTACTGGAAAGAACAACACCATGCAAAGCTGATATTTCATTTTTGGCTGGTTACTGACCAGTTGAGACCCATGCTGGCTTCTTACAGCTTATGGTTGCAGTATATCTCCACCACAGTGGCCAAACATCTCTAAGGCCATAACTAAGCCAAATGATGGTATGACCCTCCCCCTGGAGGATTTTTCATAATGCCAAACACCTTCTCTATGGCTTTTGTAAGGGGGGGGGCTAAGGCGCAAAAAGGGGAGAGATATCACAACTGGAGTCTCTGAGCAGCAAAAGAAGCTTGCTAACCCAAAACTGAAAAATCACCTTTTTTGGGTTGGGGGGAGGGAGGTTTGCCTGTTTACTCCATATTTCACCCAAAAGTGCATTTTAATGTTTTTTTGTTATCACAGCTTGGTTTGGACTTTGAAAGTTAACCTGTCACCTCTTTTTAATAAAAGTATCCATGACACAGGCTGAACTCATAGTCATGACTGTGGAATGATGTGTGGATCAGCATTGCGCAATCCTCATGAAGCTGAGACCTCCAAATTTTGGAGTGTCCTTTCTCCGATACCCCATAAGATGTGCTTACCATGCATAGCATTGTCGATCTGTACTCTAGTTGAAGTTGGGGTCCCATTCTGTGGATTGCGCTCCTCTGGTCCAGACCAACCTCATGGTGTGACATGTCCATTATCTGCAATGTGCATCCATTACGCCAATCCAACACACAGCGTGATCCAACATTCTATAGACCGAAGACTGGGTGCACCTACATCTGCCCCTCTTCACCATTAGTTAATCCATCCTAATGTCCGAATCACTGTGATCCCGGGGCTCTGCTTGGTATTTTGGCGGGTGAGGGGTGGGAAAGTGGGATAATGAGGGTGGCTGACCCTCTCGCTGCCAGAAGCGCTCTGCATGGCATTAGATGGCAAGCTCTGCTGGCAAGGAGGGGTTGTGCGGTGCTGCTTCCATGTTTAAGTCTGTCTAACAATCCTTTTTAATTCCCCACCCTGCCTTGCCTTCTGACCTATGTAGGGTTATTTTAGTGACCCCTGGAATGTCTTTGACTTTCTCATCGTCATTGGCAGCGTAGTTGACGTCATACTCAGCGAGACCAGTGTAAGTATTTTTTTCCCTTCCTCCATTTTTTTTCTAGTTGTATTTCAGCCCTGATTCCCCCCTCCTCAAAACTCCACCTTCCCTCCAGGGAGAAGGGAGAGAGGGAAGGGAAAATCCCCAGAGCGCCCCCTGCTGGCCAGAGTGGGGAGGGGGTAGATTGGGGTTTTTCTCTCCCTCGTCTCCCCCCGATCCTGCATTACTGGAGTGTCAAATGTGCGGCAGAGACACAAGAGGAGACAAAACATATCACTACGATGCCTCTTAAAACTTTTTTACGTTCTTTCTTTTGTTTAGACTTTTTTAATTTTGCGTTCTTCCCCTTGTTCACACTTTTTTAGTTTTTCTTTCCTTTGATTTTGTCTTTCTCTCTTTTTTTCTCTCTCTTTCTCTCTCTCTCTCTATCTCGTTCACTCTCCCGTACCTCCTGGGCTTCCATTCAGCACTATTTCTGTGATGCATGGAACACATTTGATGCACTTATAGTAGTGGGTAGCATTGTTGATATAGCAATCACCGAAATAAACGTAAGTAACTTACCTCTCTCTCCGTGACTGTGACTGCATCACCCTCCCCCCTTGTTTGTCTTTTATCATTTTCTTTTCTTTTTTTTCTTTTTCTTTTACTTTGTTTTCTTACTTTTATTATGTTGTTTTTTCTGAATTTTTTTTTTTTCTGTTACCTTCCGGAAACATTCAGGATTCTTGCATTAGCTCCTCCTGGCATGATATAAACTGTATAGCAGGACTGTGCTGTCATGGAGTCACTTTGGCTCGCTGACACAGAAGGATTGAGTCACAGGCACTGACGACAAAGTTAATTAAGAAGTGATTAATATTGGCCTACGCTGATCCCCTGTGACTAGAGATGGAATTTTAATAAGATCATAACGATTCTGATGACGTTTTATTATCAATGTTATTAAGTGATGCGGAGCCAAAATCCTCCGAAATGCTGTACAAAATGAAGACGTGCAGGGACATTAAAGTTAAGAGCCAAAAAAACTTCAGATTTGGAGATTTAGATGTAGTGGGGAAAGATTGTATCCTCTGTGATAGATAGATAGATAGATAGATAGATAGATAGATAGATAGATAGATAGATAGATAGATATTAGATAGATAGATAGATATTAGATAGATAGATAGATATTAGACAGATAGATAGATAGATAGATAGATAGATATGGGATAGATAGATATGGGATAGATATGAGATAGATAGATAGATATGAGATAGATAGATATCAGTAAACTGATTTTCTCTTTTACATTACAAAATTGTTTGCCCAAAAGTGGCAGCTAATTTACCCCAGGACCCCAACCTGCAGAGGCCATTCTAGGCTCTGACCTGTCTAATCACATGTTAATAAGTTCAGTAACAAGGCCACCTTCAGCATTGAGCTGCTCTCCATTTTTATGGTTATGTTTATAGCATTGCACTGATCTCCGTCTGTGTCCCTGCCCCCAGGGGCCCCAGCCAGCTCCTGCTATACAGTTGTGGCTCTGTTCTGTTTATCTGTCACCTAGCATGATTAACCGTTTCCTTTTCTACAGGGCTCCCCTTTTTTCTCCCCTACCCTTCGCCAGCCCACTAGTTCAGGGTTACAGGGGGTTACCGCCCCCACGGACGGGCCTTTTTATAGCAGCCCAAGATATAAATTGTATATAGTATATACTGTGTATAAATATATAGTATATTGTATAAACTGTATATATTTATTTCCTGGGTAAGCGCAGTTATGTGGTTTGCTATCGGCCCCCAATTCTCGGGTCCTAAGTTGCTAAAAAAAAAATGGCTGCCACAATCTGATATAAAGGACAAGCTGGCATCATCTGTAAACACTCAGCTTCAAACTAGAGTTTTAAAATTGCCTTTAAATCTGTTTGAATTCCTGTAAATATCACCTAAAAAGACCAAGGAGCATAAAACAGACTTACTAATATATAGATAAAAACGCCCAAACTATACTAAAATGAGGTAGATAAAGGGATGTGTAGCAATTGTAGGCTCAAGGAATTTTAAAGCTAGCATGTTACTCCCTTTAAAAATTAGAACTATCTTCGTATGCCCCCTCCCCTAGCTTTTTTTCTCAGTTTTGGATGGATTGGTGAAGGATTAGAACCCCTGACCTATTTATCCGGCTATCTGGAGAACTAACCCTGACTTCCTGTCCTTCTGACAACAGTTCCACCAGATGGGAAGTGTTATTGTTGGAAATTTCCCTCACTTCCTGTTCAGTGAAACTGTTATCTCCAGGACAGGAAATTAAGGGAAATCTCACGTACGGAGCCCCAAATAGCAGTAAAATCCCAACAGGGGTTCTAATCCTTCCCCACTCCATACAAAGTTAAAAAAAAAGGAAGCTTTGGCTGTAATACAATTTAAAGGTGCCCATACACTGCTCGATTCTCGTACGAGAATCGAGCAGTGTGAACTAAGACGTGCGACCGTTTCTACTGTACGGTCGCACGTCTTTTGTCGAGCCAACAAGCTTGAAAACCAGCCGAGAATCGTACGATTCTCGGCTGGTTTTCAAGCTTGTTGGCTCGACAAAAGACGTGCGACCGTACAGTAGAAACGGTCGCACGTCTTAGTTCACACTGCTCGATTCTCGTACGAGAATCGAGCAGTGTGAACTAAGACGTGCGACCGTTTCTACTGTACGGTCGCACGTCTTTTGTCGAGCCAACAAGCTTGAAAACCAGCCGAGAATCGTACGATTCTCGGCTGGTTTTCAAGCTTGTTGGCTCGACAAAAGACGTGCGACCGTACAGTAGAAACGGTCGCACGTCTTAGTTCACACTGCTCGATTCTCGTACGAGAATCGAGCAGTGTATGGGCACCTTTAGACTGGGAGCATATTCATAATGCAGCGAACTGCAGTGAATCAATCACTGTCATTTAAAACACCTGCAGTGACTATTTGATGAATGTCACATTCACTGCTTTCTAGATGTCACATCGTGCTTTGATTGGTCAATTTTTTTCAAAGCAGGGTACCCTCCAAACCCACACACCCCCCATAACCCCGCCCCACAGTGCAATGGTTGAGGCCCGGTACTGTGGTGTGGTATGCGGTGGGTCTCCTGCCTCAGGAATTAATTTTGTTAAAATGTGGAATTTTCACAATTGGGGCTCCCAAGCGCTCCCTACTAGTTCTTTTTCCAAATAGAAGGCACCAATCGTCAAGTGGAGGCTTTGACTGTAGGTAATATTGTGGTTGTCATTGCTGATCTTTGTCTAAGGATATGAGTTGCCCTGCTGTCTCTGGGTACAATTCCTTCCAATTCACTGACCGGAAACAAGCATTCCGATTGGAAAGTGGGATGTCTCTGAACTTGTTGTGGGTCAGTGGCTCTGAGAGTACTGAAGCCATAGAAAAGGTCAGTATTGGCAGCCTCCATATTATCTCACGGAAGGTTTACTTTACAAATTAGTATATACAGGAAGTCAGTTGGGTGCAGAAAATTATCCCCCCACACACACACACTCAGGTCAGTCCTGATAATCTTCTGAACCCTTTTCACACTCATCTGTGAATGTTATTAAAACCTCTTTTACAGAAACCAGATTGTGATTCAAAATTTAGCAGCCCTTTAAATCATAGGTGGATACTGAAGGCGAATACTTTTAGCTGTGTGTTGTCACCTCTCTATCACATGAGATGTGACAACGCTGAAAAGTTAACTAGAATAATCCACTTCCTGTCTCACCCTCACCCCTTCTCCCTGCCCTTCTCTATCCCCCTTCTTCTGTACTACACGGGTCACCCCGGTGGAGGCATTTAAAGAGTACTGTCTCTGCTTGTGTGTGCTGTTTAGGTTTGGTCATAGCTAAAGCAGGTTCACCTAAAGCAAATCGAAATTCAATGGGAAAGTCCACCCAAATCTGATTCTTCAATGTTGTGTGTTTTTTAGTGGGTTGAGTCATCTGCCAAATTCTTGTTTGTTTCTGGGACTTCAGTGGTGAGCATTCTCCATAGCAGTTTGTGTTTCTGCCCCTCCCCAAATGATGAGATTCCCCTGCAGTAGTTTGTGTCTCTGCCCCTCCCACAATGATGAGATTCCCCTGCAGTAGTTTGTGTCTCTGCCCCTCCCACAATGGTGAGATTTCTCTGCAGTAGTTTGTGTCTCTGCCCCTCCCACAATGGTGAGATTTCTCTGCAGTGGTGTGTGTCTCTGCCCCTCCCACAATGGTGAGATTTCTCTGCAGTAGTTTGTGTCTCTGCCCCTCCCACAATGGTGAGATTTCCCTACAGTAGTTTGTGTCTCTGCCCCTCCCACAATGGTGAGATTTTCTTACAGTAGTTTGTGTATCTGCCCCTCCTACAATGGAAATATCCCCCCAAGTAGTTTGTGTCGCTGCCCCTCCCACAATGATGAGATTTCCCCCCAGTAGTTTGTGTCTCTGCCCCTCCCACAATGGTGAGAGTTCCCTGCAGTAGTTTATGTCTCTGCTCCTCCCATAAGGCCATAATGAACTGGACAATGGTTGTGTGTTCCCCAGTCCATGGAGCAACTGTCACACAGTCATTTGGCTCTGTAATGGTTGTGGTGGATGGATCTGTAAAATCAGATGGAAGGAGTCAGCACACATCATGTGAATTTCTCACTACTGGGGTTCCCAAGATATCTAAATCAGAATGTCTCTTAGCACGCCAGCAACCACACAATGGTAAATTATGAGTTCTGGGTGGACGTGACCTTTAAAGAGGGACACATGTCCATATGATTTTACCTCACCGCTGCCCACTCCAAGTCTCCTGTTGTTTTCCTTTTCTGTGTCCCATTGGGGAGATTTCCTTTTACTTCATGTTCTGTACAGACAACAGAGTAAGGGAAATACAAAACAATCTCCCCATTGGAAGATTTCCCCTCTATTCCTGATCAGTTGGCAACTCAAATTTTTGGGTTTCGATTTGCTTTATTCATTTTTTATAATTGACCTGATTGTGCTGATTTCCCCTATGTCCTGGACTCAGCTGTGCTGGACTTTCTGCAGGTGATTCTCTCTGCCCTATCCCGGCAGCACAACTAAAATAAGCCTGGAGAATAGAGAGACATGCCTGAAGAGCACAGGAATACAAAGAAATGTGATCGATGTGTTAGGAGAAGTTGCAGGGTACCCACATGTAGGAATTCATATTAAAAGTGACATTTATTGGAAACGTAGTTATTCATTGGTTATGTTATCTTAAAATTGCAATTTAAACAATTCTAATGACTATCAATATATAAACCCGAAATGTTTTTCTTGGCTGATCCTCCATTTTCAGAGATTTCAGAGGTTAGGTGTGTCAGGGGACTTCACTGACTCCATTATTGCTCCGGGTCAATGTCTCAGAAACAGGGGACTCCAGAGACAGGCAGGTGATTAGCATTTTCAGAAGGGGGTCAGAAATATCAGCCTCCATGTGTATCTCAGGTAGAGGTTGATCCCTTTCATGACAAGTCAAAGTTTTAATTTTTGCTCAGCCAGCAAAGGGCAAAAACACTCTATTTCCCCATCCACACCATTTAGCACCCCCCCCCCCCCCCCCCTTGTGCCCCCCCCCCCCCCCTTCCTGCTGGGTTATTGTTGTATACTGACAGCAGCGGGTGTGGCGCTGCCAGTGACTGCAGCTGATTGGCTGAAGTCACTGGTCAGCAAATAATTTTCAGACCGGCTCCTTAGACAAAAAGCTACAGTCCTTGGCCAAAATTTGAACAATGTATGGCCAGCTTTACTCTGTGGCTTTTAGGATGGGGAGCTTCTAGCCCCAGGGCATGCTGGGACTTCTGGTGCTTCAGCAGAAGGAGAGCTATAGGTCGGCCTCCCTCCTTCCTCTAAAAGGTGCTAAAAAAAGAGATCCTTAAAGGGAACCTGTGAGCATAGAAATATGACAGCTAGCTTGTTTTAAAAAGCAGACACTGACCTAGTCTTCCTGACATCAATCACTAGTGGGTTACTGACCCTGAACAGGAAGGCAGCCAATGAAGTCACGAAGGGTTAAACTCCAGTCCTTCATATTTATTAGAGGTCAGGGACTCTTGGGGTACTGAGGTTAGAATCAGGGTGACCACTGTGACCACCTGCCCTAATTCTATTCTCATAGAAGTCCTAAGAGTAGCATTCAATGTTACAGTTATGGTACAAATGGCTCCCTTTGGAGTGGGGTACACAAGCAGCAAGTAGTAGCTCTTATTATTCCATCTGCCAGAGGCATGAGCATTTGAAGACAGCGGAGTTTGGACTGCTAGGGAGGTATTTGCAGACATCTTCTATAGTTTTTTTGGAAGATGCAGAGGCGCTTTAATCTCACACATCACATTGTGAGGTCTTTACTAGCGTCATCGCTACTACATTCTACTTGTGTGCCTCATTCCATAGGAAGCCATTTGTTCCTTCTGTAGAGTGATCTATTGCTACTCTTAGCGATCAATCAGCAGTGATTTCAGAAGTTCGGCCACGCCGCTACAAAATTGCCCGTGGTCTCCTAGCCTAAGATATGGCTTTTCCTAAACAAAGCACCTCTCTGTTCTCTTCTGGCCACATTGTAGCAAGTTGACTGGCCACATAATAACAAGTAGATTGACCACTACATAGTAAGTTGGCTGGGCACCTCATAGCAAGTTCATTGGCCACCTTGTAGTAAGTTGGCTGGTCACCTCATAGCAAGTTCATTGAACACTTAGTAGCAAGTTCATTGGTCACTTAGTAGCAAGTTCATTTGCCACCTTGTAGAAAGTTGGCTAGGCACCACATAGCAAGTTAAATGGCCACTTTGTAGAAAGTTGGCAGGGCACCCCATAGCAAGTTAGTTGTCCACATTTTAGTAATTTGGCTGGGTACCTCATAGCAAGTTAAGTGGCCACTTTGTAGCAAGTTCATTGGCAACCTTGTAGAAAGTTGGCTGGGCACCTCATAGCAAGTTCATTGGCCACTTCGTAGCAAATTCATTGGCAACCTTGTAGAAAGTTGTCTGGGCACCTCATGGCAAGTTAATTATCCACATTTTAGTAAGTTGGCTGGGCACCTCAAAGCAAGTTAATCAGCCACTTTGTAGCATGGTAATTGACTACCTTGTAGTAAGTTGGCTGGGCACCTCATAGCAAGCTAATTGGCCACCTTGTAGAAGGTTGGCTGGGCACCTCGTAGCAAGTTGATTGGCCACCTTTTAACAAGTCCTTCAGTTTTTTAGAAAACAAGTTCATCGGGATGTATAGATCATCAACAGACAAAGGCTAAATTCTTCCCCTTCTTCTTTTGGCAGCAGAATTAAACCACAGTCATCACAAGTCCATGAAGCCAGTATGGACAATGGGTGTTGTAGTTGCCGTTTGTCACAGTTTTTATAGAGATCCAAACTCCAGGATTGTACAGGGTTAACAGTTTGGTTGTATTTTGTCCCAAATTTGCTCCTGTCCTCTTCTATCTACCTCCTCCTCTCTTCTCCCGCTACCCCCCACCCCACCTCATTGTTAATCATATTGCTGTACTGTGCCCCCGTGTGGATATAGCCGGTATTACATCTTACCTCTGTCTGCCTTTCTTTAAAGACAGGTGAACACTCTCAATGCCACAATATGGTAAGACCAAGATCTGTTCAGAGCACTGTGCCTCCCACTTTTATTTTCTTCTTTGACACACGTGTCACAGCTGTGTGCCCCCCCCTCAGGGCTTTTCTATCTCAGATCCTTGTCCAGTCTCTGTGCATGCCCTCTGGCCGCCATGTTGTACTTGTGTCTCTTGAAATGTGATCTTGTGTGGTTTATTGTGTATTAATTTCTGTACCCTGTAAGCTTTCTCTTGGACTCTTCCTCCGCTTGGGCAAGTCTGGCAGTCAAAACGAAAGTTGGCTAAACTTTACGCCAGATTAACCAGGAGAGGACAGAACCGGCGGAGTTTTTGTTGCGGACAAAAGGCAGCCATTGTTTAATGCTCCAGAAGAAGAGTTCATATTGAACTGTCTAATTGGATTTCCTCACAAACCATGATTCTGACCTTTCAAATGTCTATAGAAACCTGTCCAGAAAACATTTCATTTGCACTAGTCAAAAAATCCACTCAGTTTACATTCTATCGGGTTTTTTATAATGCACAAAAGCAGGATTTTACAGGGATTTCCAGGCAGAACCGCAGCATATTGTTACATGTCTCTGCTGTGCGTCCTCCTTTGAGAAGTGCAGGGGACAAATGCTCAGGATCAAGAAATATTCTTTATAAGGCTCCAGAGCCATTCAGAGAATAGGGCCATCGGTACCATGAACCACATGAGTTGACCACAATCCACAGGTTTTAAATAGTGGACAGTTGACAAGGGGCTTTGTCCCTCAGTCACTTTGAATGCAAATTTTTCAAGCTAAATTAGAGTACACCAAAAAAGATAAATAGTGCCTTCTCCCACTGCATATTCAAATAGTTGACACACATTGTACCAAGCATATCTAAACTTTGTGATAGTTTTAGATATTAAAGTGGTCCTGTCACCCCTAAAAGGTAAAGGTCTCCATTTTGTATTTTGAGCCAATTTTTTGCATATGTTGTCAACTTCGAAGCATTAACCATGGCCTAATCTTCTTCTGATATTCAATGTATTTACCTTCACAGAAGGAAATAGATTTGTGCAAAAATTCTGCTAAAATATATACACTGAATTACACACGTCTCAGTAAAATTTAAAATAAATAAAATTGTGTCTAAAGCCAAATTCTTGTTAGCTTTTGATTGAGTAGGGAATGGTTGAAAACCCTGTCTGAGCCCCATTGGGGAAATTTCCCTTCATTTTTGGATTTTCCTTCACTTTCTGTAGGGATGTCCAGATACCAGTGCAGATACTTGGCATTTTTATGAGAACTACCGCGGTTGCAGCTGGGACCTGGCTCTGGCGCTCCACCGCTGTCCTGAAATCATTAGTCTGTATTGTTTTACAAAAACTGTCACATGACACTAAACAAAAATGTATCAGTACTTGTACTTGGAAAAATGGTATCAGTGCACCACTTATATATATTTATAAAAAAATATATAATGCATTAAAACAGAGATGTACAAATCCCAGGAGCTCCATATGCTTCTTACAAATGACAGCTGCCTCCTAACTTTTTAATTTTTCTCTAGTCTAGTGCTGGAGCTGGAAAAGTATCTGTACTTGTACCGAGTACGGTACTTGGTATCTGCACATCCCTAACTTTCTGTCTTGGTGGCGATGGCCACCAGGACAAATGGAGAGGTTAAATCTCCCCAGCAGGGACACAGGCATCAAAAACCTTTTCACAGTGATCAATAAACACCTTTATGTATTTGCAAGAAAAAAAAAATCATGTAATTAACATCAAATAACCAAATCAGGGTTTTGCAGTAGGATCTAGCCTACTTACAATAGTTATACCGAGGGAAAGAAAATAAATAAGGCCTGTGGTGCCATTTCTATTCATACATATATATTAGGGATGTTCAGATACCAAGTACCGTACTCTGTACAAGTACAGATACTTTTCCAGCTCCAAGACTAGACTAGAGAAAAACTCACAGGTTAGGAGGCAGCTGTTATTTGTAAGGAGCACACGGAGTTCCTGGGATTTGTACTTCTCTGTTTTAATGTATGGTTTTGTTTTTATAAATATAAATAAAGGGATGCACAGATACCAGTTTTGCGAGTACAAGTACTGATACTTGCCCAAGTAGTCAAAGATACAAGTACTGATACATTTCTGTTTATTGTCATGTGACAGTTTTTACAAATAATATTTCAGCGCGGTATACTGTATGTAGCCGAAGCTACATACAGTATACCGAAGTATACCCGGCGTATAAGACGACCCCCGATTTTCGGGCGATTTTTTTGGGTCTCAAACCCCGTCTTATACGCCGGCAAATACGGTACGTATTATTATTTTTCTTTAGTATAGCAATAAAAAAACTCACAGGGGTCTAACCCTTCTGCACTCCCATTTTAAACTAAAATAAAGTGTATTTAGATAAACTTTAATAGCATGTTTATTGCAAAAGAGTTTTCCATTGTTACAGGCGAAGGATAGCTCACTATAAAGCTGAAAACAAAACATTAGATTAACAACTGAATGAAGATTCAAGAAAAATCTAAAACTTTTTCTTAATTTTAATTTAATTGAATTGAATTTTCATTTTAAATTTTTTGCAAACAAAAAAAAAAAGAGAGAAGCTGTGCTCATCGTAATTCGGACTGACACTCAAATGTTAACATGAATCATGGTAACAATCTTATCTGCAGGGGAAGATTAGGTAATATAAAATCTGCTCCTCCTTCACATGAGATCACATGACCACATGCCTTGGCCCTAAGACACGTGATCTGCACCGGAGGGAGCCTGGAGCAGCATTTTCTCCAAGATGGGTAAATAATTCATTCTTCTTTTACCAGTTATTTATCGATCCCAGCAAGACTGATATTATTGGTTTATTAGGTCCACTTTAAATCCCCAACAGATCTTTATGGATCATTTTATATCAAAGTAAATCAAATCAATTTGCATGAACCAGGCCAGACTTTGGGGAGTTTATAACAATTTAAGTAGCAGTCCTGGTTGGCCACCTCCATGTCTCTGAAAAGATGTTTAGATAATTGAGACAAATGGCGGTAAGCAGCCACGCTGTAGCTCACGAGACATCTAATTATTCATAACTGTCCAGCGCTGCCTGGCATTTTCTGGAGTGCAAGGGGTTAACAGCCTGGCACGTCGTCAGCAAAAAAACTCAGCGGTTCTGTCCTCTGTTTTTGATGTTTTGTTGTTTTTTTTCTTTGCAGCAGTTCTGTGTTGGGGTAGAGGAAGGGGATTAGGGTTACATGAATACCCAGACTTAGTATTTTTATAGTGAATTTAGGAAAATATTAGCATTTTTAATTGTTGTTTAAACTTTAGATTTAGTTTTAGTCCCATGTTCCAAAGAGTACAAGCTTAGCAGATACAATAGGGGAGAGATTAGGAAGCAGAGATAGGCGAACAAAGAGGACCTGTCTTTTGTACATAGTGTAGCCATTTTGTCAGCCATTTTTCAGTAGCCTTCAGCTTATCACTTGTCTAGGTCCTAGGTACCTCACCGAGGCACGCTACCCCTTCTTCCTCAGTGATATGCCTAAGAACAAGCAAAATAACAATGCAAAAAATGGCTGCCCCTCAGGTCAACATTAATAAAAAATGAAACAAGTATTTTTATTTTATTTCTCCCTCCATATTGCGGTTGGAGATCTACAGTATTGCCAACTGCTCCCTAATCCCAGTGCATTCTGGTCTCCTGTAGATTAGCACTGCCATGGATAGTTGAAGACTTGGGTGACATCATTGGCCCAGGATCTCTTGATCGACCAGAGGTAGGTTGGCAATACTTAGACAAGTCAGCAATGGAAACTTCATAGCCTGCTAAGAATAAAAAAAATTACCATCACTGACTTGCAGATGCTAGTTCCAGGTCAGAGACTTGCTAGTTCCAGGAACGTGCACTATCAAAAATAAGTCAGCAAAAGCAGCAGCCTAAGAGTTTTGTATTTTAGATGAGGTTGAGACATAGGGGTTGTTTAAGGTTCTTCAGGGAATGAAAAACATTTTCATATCATATTCACATTCAGCAAGCTCAATATTCTGTCAGGGAAGTGTTTTATTGGCTGGATAACTATGCAGAAATAAACACTGTGAGGCCTGAGATATCCTCAGTGATGGTTTTGGTTCCCAGAGAATTGGTAGCTTTTAGAATATATTTGTAGTATACAGAGTTGCTGGTTTTTGTTATATTTCAGGCTGCAATATAGTTAGGGTCTGAGGTTGTTGGTAAGCCTGGACCTCAGATTTTGGACAGGGCAAGAAGGATAGTATAACAGGCAGCGCCTTCTCTCACAATGTGGGTGTCCTCATTGCCTGCTGCGGTGTGCGCTATAACCCGTGTCCGCTGTATGTTCTAGCAGGGTGAGGAGAACTCCAGAATCTCCATCACATTCTTCAGGCTCTTTCGAGTCATGCGTCTGGTGAAGCTTCTCAGCCGAGGAGAGGGAATCCGCACCCTGCTCTGGACCTTCATCAAGTCTTTCCAGGTAACGCAACGCGCCTGCGCTAAGACACTACCGCTCCTAGGTACAGATATGATTGCATGACACAGTCAGCAGCACTTCATGTTTAGGGTGTCGCGACCCACTTTTGGGTCGCGACCCACGAGTTGAGAACCACTGCTCTAGGGAATATATCATATACATGGGAATATAATGATCAGGGGACCTGGTTGTGCTTTTCCAAGAGCATGGATCACAGACTACCTTCAGGTCACAAAATGTGAGAATAGCGTGGCCTGGCCCTAGTAATTAGCAGGTCAGACTATCTGCCTTCTTACCACCAAATATTATTATGAGGCACCTGCCAGGTAGGAATGCAGGCTATCCAGTCAGCACAGCTCCCTCTGGTTGGGGTAAGTTCACATTTCACCCTTGTGTCACTCCTGGGGATTATATTAGAATGGAAAAGGGGCAATAAGTAGGTTACACTACAAGGACTGTTCTAATACAGTAGCTGAATTCTTGCAGACCATTTCCTTACTGATCTATATTCTGGTTTTCTGCAGGCTCTCCCCTATGTGGCTCTTCTCATTGTAATGCTGTTTTTCATCTATGCTGTGATTGGAATGCAAGTAAGAACTTTTATTTTGCAAAACAACTGAGTTGGGGCCTAACTCTTTATAATATAATTCTTCCTTTCGTTCTTTCTTTTCTCTTTCTTTTCCTTTTTCTCTTTATCTCTTTATTTTTCTCTCCTTTTCCTTCTTTCTCTCTTTTTTTCTTTCTTTCTCTCTTCTTTTTTTCCTTTCTTTTCTTTTTTCTCTTTCTCTCTTTCCGTTTCTCTCTTTTATTCTTTCTTTTTTTTCTATTTCTTTTTGCTCTTATATTCTTTCTTTTTCTTCTTTTATTTCTTTTCTCTTTCTTTTTTCTTTCTTTTCTCTTTCTTTCTTTCCTTTCTTTCTTTCTCCCTCCCCTCTTTCTCTGTCTCTCTCTTTTTCTTCCTTTTTTTCTATGTGTATTAATGTATCTCTCTTTTTTTCCCCTCTGTGTGTTTTGCTTCCTCACAAGCAGTGTTAGAGTCTTGTGCCACGTTAGCCAAAGCTGATGTGGAAAGTTTGGAGTTTTGGAGATACCTGTTATTACATAAGTTATTAAAGAAGCGAGCTTTCATAACAACTGTATTATGCCTGAAAAACAAACCTAACATGTAATTTGCAAAAGCTTTCATCTTTAATAACTTATATTAGAAGAGTATAATTTAAACTCCAAACAGTCCACATTGATCCTTCCCAACAAGCCTCTCTCTCTCCCTGTCGTCTTTCCCTATGTCTCTCTCTCCCTTTTTCTCTTCCCTCCCTTTCTGCCTCTCTATCCCCCTTCTCTCTCTCTGTCTGCCTCTCTTCTCTTGATTTGCCTCTATACAGTTTCATTTTTCTCCTAACAGTTAATGTTTATTTTGCAGTTGTCCTGGGCGTGCTCATCAATAAACATTTTGACTAATGAATGCAGTTTCTAAATTCTATCCCCAGTATTGCAGACATCTTAAGATTTGCATTTTTGTTCCTCTGCAGGTTTTTGGGAAAATTGCTCTAAACGACACAACGGATATTAACAGAAACAATAATTTTCAGACCTTCCCTCAAGCTGTTCTGCTGCTCTTCAGGTGAATGGTGTTGCAGATGAAAAAAATGGTGGTTCCAGAATGTTTCATTCATAGTGTCAGGTGTTTTAGAACGTCATTAAAATCTTCTTAAGGAGATTTGGTCATATCTGTATTAAAGAGATGTTTAAAAAGTCAAGGTATAACTGACCACTTACTGTACTGACTGTGTGAATAGATCCTTCTTTATTCCCTTTGTGCATGGCAGATGGAAATACTCATCAGTGTTACTGAGAGTGTCAATTGCCTAGCAAAGTAATCAGCGTTTTGTTTGTGTTGGCTGCTTTGTAGCATTCCTTTAAGACTTCTTTCTTCAAATAGAATATTGTCAAATACAACACAATTACATTGCATTTGTGTCCTTGTTCTGGTTCCTGGCTGATGGCATTCTTCTGGCAGATGTGCTACCGGAGAAGCATGGCAGGAAATCATGTTGGCTTGTCTCCCCAACAAGATGTGTGAGCCGGATTCTGAAGATCCCCCCATCATGGAGGACTTCTCCTGTGGCAGCAGCTTCGCTGTCTTTTACTTTATCAGCTTCTACATGCTCTGCGCTTTCTTGGTGAGTGGTTGCTCTGCACAAGATATTGTTTTGGAATGTTTTGAAATTGATATGCATGTTCATAATCTTCTTGTCTTGTAAATTATGTCTTTATATTCTCACCTCTCTTGGTTCCTTTTCAGATTTCTAGGCTCAATCCTCTAGCTTCACTGTTGGCTCATTTCAATACTCTTAGTTTATCCTCAATCCTCTAAATAAATGCCCAATCCTCTAGGTTAATTCCCAATCCTCAAGGTTAATTCCCAAGCCTTTATGTTCATCCTCAATACTCTAGGTTTATTTTTAGTCCTCTAGACTCATTCCGGAATCCTCTAGGTTCACTCTGAGTATATTCAGAGTCATCCATCCTTATTCCCAATCCTCTAGGTTCATCACCAATCCTTTAGGTTCATCCTCAAGTGTCTAGGTCAGTTCCTAATCCTCTTGGTTAATTCCCAGTCCTCTAGTCTCATCTCCATTGCTCTAGACTCATACACAATACTCCAGGTTCATTCTATATTCTTTAGACATGTTCTCAATCCTCCAGGTTAATTTTCAATCCTCTAGACTCATTCCCAACCCTCTAGACTCATGCTCAAACCTCTAGACTCATTCCCTATCCTCTAGACTCATCCCCAATCCTCTAGGTTACTTTCCAATTTTCTAAGTTTATCCCGAAACCTCTAGATTCATGCCCAATCTTCTAGACTCGTTCTCAATCCTATAGACTCATCCCCAATCCACTAGACTCATCCCCAATCCACTAGACTCATCCCCAATCCTCTAGATTCATCCCCAATCCTCTAGATTCATCCCCAATCCTATAGACTCATCCCCAATCCTCTAGACTCATCCCTAATCCTCTAGATGTATCCCTAATCCTCTAGACTCATCCCCAATCCTCTAGACTCATCCCTAATCCTCTGGACTCATCCTCTAGACTCATCCCCAATCCTCTAGACTCATCCCCAATCCTCTAGACTCATCCCCAATCCTCTTGACTCATCCCCAATCCTCTAGACCCATCCATTATCCTCTATCCTCTAGTCTCATTCCCAATCCTCTAGGTATATTTCCAATTCTCTAGGTTCATCCCCAATCTTCTAGGTTAGTTCCTAGTGTTCTCAACTAATTTGTCATCTTGGAACTGAGAATGTGACTAAATCATCAAGGCTTATTCTCAATGATCTAGTCTCAAGCCAATCTTTCTAGGCCATAACCTCTAGGCTCACTTTTAGTCCATTAAAGAACGGCAATAAAAACCTGGACAGAGGTCCTAAACCTTCCATATTTTATTCAACAGAAGTGTTTTTATAGTTGTTTGTGTCTGAATTGGAGATCTCTCCTCGTTTCCTGTCCAGATGAGCAGAAAGTTGGGGGAAATCTGCCCAGTAGGGACCCATAATAAAATGTAAACCTGACAGAGAAATTAAAAAAAGAAAAATCTTGTTGGTTGCTTAGGAAATATGTAGTTCTTATGTAAGTCTGTAATTTCTGGAGTATTATTGGTGTTGTTCTACATCTCTCTCTACAGATCATCAATTTGTTTGTCGCGGTCATTATGGATAATTTTGACTATCTGACGCGAGATTGGTCCATATTGGGCCCTCATCATTTGGATGAATTCAAGCGAATCTGGGCAGAGTACGATCCAGAGGCCAAGTAAGGAAAGGAACTGATGTGATGTTGTGACAGTGCCCTCTAATATATAGTGGCTGAGATCTCCGAGACATATGCAATCATGTTCACGCATTGACCTTGTGAGGTCAAGCTAATCCTATCCTAAGGGGTAGCGCACAGCCTGCAACATATGTGTGCAGAATTTACCAACGAGTGAGGTTTACTATAGGGTGCACATTCCAATGTCTGAACGTATGCCATAGAGTGCTAAAATCACAATGTGATTTCATGTTTTTGAGCTAACTGCTGTTAGCATTTTTAAATGTGCGTGAAGAAGAGTGCACAGCTATTATTAAAGTCCAACTCCAGGCAAGAAAAACCCTGTTGTGGGCCCCCTTCCCACATTGCAAGGGTTCAATGCTTGTATGGCTAGGGGGTACAGATATTAATTACCTTACCCCCTGCTTCATCAGGCTCCAGCAGCACTCTCCTCTTCTCTTTGGCGCTCCTGGCTGTGGGCTCTAACTTGGCATCATCATGTAAAATGCAGGGCTGTTAGTATTACACGGAGGAGGTGAGTGTGAAACCACGGCTTGGAGTGCCTTAGTGAGGAGGTTTCACGGGAATGGTTGCAGGGATGGAGAAAGCCTGCTGAAGCAAGGAGCAAGGTAAGTATTACACCTTATTCCTGTACCCCTAGACTGAACAAGCATTTAACCCTTGCAGTGCAGGTGCCACAACGCAAGAGGTTTTTTTTTTTTGTCTCATGCCTGGAGTTGGGCTTTAAAGGAAAACCCCTAACTTGTAAAAAAAAACCCTCAGTGAACTGTGTGCAAAAGGTAGAAGATCACCAGCACTCCAAAGATATAGTTTCAAATCGTAGTATTCATGTATTGATATATAGCATCACATATATCAGAATGCCAAAGTTTCGGGGCCACGCAGGGTCCTGTCACTATGTCACCCCGATGAAGGCACTCTGATATATCTGACGCTGCAATCAACATTTCTTCTACTGCATAGTGCATACCCTGTTATGGACCATCCCAGGCGGTGCCCTATACTTAGAGTGTCATATCAGGAATGTCGGGGATACAATGTTTCTTATTACAGCACAAAAACTGCAAAAACGCATGCCTGTCTCAATATTTACAGAGTAGAAGCAGATGATGGTATGACTATGCACTATGCAGTAAAGCTTACTAACTGGTTAGGTGGGTGTGGATGGGTAGGTGTATTCAAGAGAGAATGATAAACATACCTGCTGCAAGGAGACCCTGTATTGTTTCAGTTCAGGTCACATGACCTTAACCCAGCAATGAAGCACATATCCTGCTGCAGCTGTGAATTATGGGTCATATAACCATGACACTACTAGGTGCAGCGTGCACCATGCACCCATACACAAAGTGAAATACTGTGTAAAACATTCAAAATCTGTTCTGTTCTGGTTCTATGTTGGACTGTTGTGCACTTTAAACTTGAATAAATAATTTTTTTTTAAAAGCATTCAAAATTAAAAAGAGTTTTTAAATACTAAAAAAGGGTCTAAAAAGGAAGGGAGACAACAAGTATTCAAAAAATCAAGCACTCAATATATCCCAAACAGTTCAAATCCCAATTTTTTACGCCACTTAGCTACCAGGCAATTTGTTCGCCAAGCCCTGTGTGAGCAAGCTCAAAATGAGTGATGCACTAGTTTATAATACACCTGCTCAATGAGAGACACCTGAGCTCAATTAACCCCTCCCCCTAACAAGAGCACTGCAACCTGAGGGAAAAAAAAAAAAAGGGAACAGTTTAAAAAAACTGACAGATTCCTGCTGTGATTCCTAAAACACAACCACAGCTTGTGATGCAGATTATCTTCTTCGTAACATAAGATCATTTGTGCCTCATCTAAATGCTAACTTTGTAATGCCCTCCGTTGTCCCTAGGGGGCGCATCAAGCACCTCGATGTAGTGACCCTTCTACGACGAATACAGCCCCCTCTGGGTTTTGGAAAGCTGTGCCCACACCGTGTGGCGTGTAAGGTAATCTAATGACTCAAGGCAGGAACTATTATAACAGTAATGGGTCATCAGTGGGCCAAGCACCAGTGCAGTCATGTGGGATTTTTTGTTTCTCCAATTGGCTGCGTAGAACATTGGGGTG